ATAGCATTGGATGCTCACACCAGAGGGGCAAAGTCACGTTTGCATGGCACGTGCTGGAGGAGTCAGGGAGCAGGGTAATTCATGCAAGGGAAGAGGGTAGTTTCCATTTCACATTCTACATCATGACACTGAATTGGATCATTTCCGTGTCACCCCTATGTTCCACCAGTGGGAGGGGCTATGGTCTCATGCTCCTCATCTCACCAGGAATGGGGTGACCATCACATGCCTTACATCCCACCAGGAACGGGGTGACCATCTCATGCCTTACATCCCACCAGGAACGGGGTGACCATCTCATGCCTTACATCCCACCAGGAACGGGGTGACCATCTCATGCCTTACATCCCACCAGGAACGGGGTGACCATCTCATGCCTTACATCCCACCAGGAACGGGGTGACCATCTCATGCCTTACATCCCACCAGGAACGGGGTGACCATCTCATGCCTTACATCCCACCAGGAACGGGGTGACCATCTCATGCCTTACATCCCACCAGGAACGGGGTGACCATCTCATGCCTTACATCCCACCAGGAACGGGGTGACCATCTCATGCCTTACATCCCACCAGGAACGGGGTGACCATCTCATGCCTTACATCCCACCAGGAACGGGGTGACCATCTCATGCCTTACATCCCACCAGGAACGGGGTGACCATCTCATGCCTTACATCCCACCAGGAACGGGGTGACCATCTCATGCCTTACATCCCACCAGGAACGGGGTGACCATCTCATGCCTTACATCCCACCAGGAATGGGGTGCCCATCACATGCCTTACATCCCACCAGGAACGGGGTGACCATCTCATGCCTTACATCCCACCAGGAATGGGGTCATCATATCACATGATATGTCCCACCGGCATGTGGGGTCATCATCTGGTCATTTGCTCCCTGCCCCCGTGGCAATGGACAGTTTGGCCCAACCAAGGCTCAGAGATGTTTTTCTGTCCTGGTGTTAATGATTGACGTCTTTTATTTTACACCCCTCAGTGGTTCCTGAGAATGTCCTGGATCTTTTGCCCCACTTCTGTTAACAATTTCAAAGCTTTTGTAGAAACAAAGGTTAACTATTGGACAATGTGGCCCAGCTGCTTCTTAATAGCTAGCCAAGGATCTTGACTGAAGAAAACAACTATTAAACATTAATGGAGAGACTTGGAAAAGTGGATCCTGATGGGGCTGGTCTATCTTCTATGTGCTGAACAAACAGAGGGAGAGAAGGAGAATGAAGCGACAGAGCAGGGACATATCACAGATTTCAGGGTGTTTATCTCTCAGCCTCAGATGAAGCCCAGGGAAGCCTCACTCCACCATAAATGCTAAGAGCATGCAAACTGTGAGAACAAAGCTCTGATTAGAAAAGATGCTGACACTTGAGGGTACAAAGGGTTCATGCAAATAATTAGGACAGGGACTCCTGCAATGCTTCAAGGTGCTGGGAAGCCCTCATTTGTGCAACACAATGTGAAGTGCATGGGCAGAGGGCCAGATGGGTGTAGTTACCCAATTTGTTGTGTAACACAGTGGTTGGTGCCTACCTGAGCTGGTCAAAACCAGAATTTCCATTCTGCAGGGAATTCTGAACTGGGCAGGGGCTCACATGCACTTTTGCTGCTATGTTTCTCTGGTTGTGGCTTTCATACTGTCATGGGTCCATCCTTCTTTGACAATACGGGTCTAACAGGGTTGGTTATTCTTTTAATGTGCATTTCAGAAAAAAAAAAACACCCAGTGATCTGCTCAGTGAGATTGCCGAAGGGGTTTTAACTAGCTGAGCATTCTGACTTTCTAAATATTCTAATTCTTGGATCTTTAAAAACTACCTCCAGACCTGGAGCTCACTGGGCTGATCTCTGCTCCCGGATGGAAAAGTTTGTGAACCAAACAGCAATTAACTTAGAGAATTCCTACTGTGCCATGAGAGGTGCTGCAAATCCTCCACAGAAATGGACTCTGACTAGTTTTCCTTGTATACCCTCCCCTTCATGGTTGTGTATTTTGAGCAAGTGTACAAATACTCAGGTGTCTCTGCATTTTCACCTCTTCATCAGTTGCATGCAACTTTGAAATATAGCACTTAACACTGAGCATTTCCTTGTGCCATTGAGGCTGCTTTAGGGCGTGTCTAAAGTCTGACTGCAGCTTGCGTAGACAAACCCAAGATAGCTTCAGTCTAGCTAGTGTGGATACCAATAACAATATACAAACTTTCCTGGAATTCTGGCTGTGGGTGGCCAGCTGTGCTGATGCCCGGGCAGCCAGCCCTTCACTGTTCCTGGAGCTGAGCTAGCTAGATTTAAACTAGCTAAGGTATGTCTGAAATTATACTCTGCTGGCCTGGCAGTGTAGATATGCCCTTAGCTCTAATGATTTATTTCTTACAGGGGGAATGCAGAGCTCTGTTCGCTGTTCTTCGAAAGTAAGCTCCTTTAATATCTTGCTTTAAATACAGATTGAACCTCTCTAGTCCAGCACCCTTGGGCCCAGATCAGTGCCGAACCAGAGAATTTACTCAACCACGGGAGGTCAATATTGTCTCTCAGCATCGCCAACACTTCCACTGTTTACTGGACTCTCAAAAGACTTTTGGGGTAAATTAGAGCTAAATAACAGCACACTGAGAGTCAGAACTAGTGGCTGTTAAACTTTATGGGAACACAGGAAACTTGGCTACACCCATGATAAGCGGACATCCATCTAACTAAAATCATGCCGGACCCCAGATGTAGCCAGTCCAGAGAGAGCCGGACTAGAAAGTTTCAACCTGTATACATATATTTGTAATAATTCAGGCAACAAAAGATGCTGCAGTTGATTTGGGATCTTAAACACCTTTTCAATATAATTTATAAATCACTATCAGTAACCAGGGCTTGAAAAATAATACAATCTACTCACCCGGGGCGAGTAGATTGTAACCCGGAAGAGCCGGGTTCGGGCAATCTGCACATGTGCAGAACGATCTGCGCATGCGCAGATCACCGGGCAGCGCGGCTGGCAAGTGGGGCTCGTCGCAGTACGGCGATCCCTGTCAGTAACAGTTTGCACTGACACCATGAAACCACAGGGATGACTGAATTAAGAGAGATTTTTAAAAACCTTGGATAACAAAAAGGCCTTCAAACTTTAAACCAATATGCTGTATCTAATCAGTCTAATTATCCCAGACATTTGTATAGTACTTTGTTTGCAAAGTGCTGTAGTAGCATTAACCATTGATTCACCAATCATCTGCCCATACAAAATTTTGCTTTCAAAATGTGTGCATGATTATGTGTCTAGTTTTAGCACCTTGTTATAACAATTGTGCAAACCGTCTGCTTAATTGCACATGCAAATGGCTGTATTGTATCGTGCAGTTATCTGATCTGCTTGTACAGTTGTGGTTAGAAAACAAGGTGCAATTTCTTTGCAGCTCTGGGCCATTTTTCTTGGCAACAGATTAACCTCTATTGGAAAGTGTGAGGGGAGGTCAAATGGCAGCGCTAACCTGATCATCTAAGGGAAGCTCGCAAAAAGCCGGGATGTACTTGGCCCACTCCACCAACACCAGCAACTGCTGCTTCATGGATTCACACACGTCTGTTATGTTCGCAATCGTCTTCCCTCGGATATCTCCGTTGATCACGGAAATTGGCGACGATATCTGCAAGCATGAAAAGGGAACCATGTAGCATCTTCATACCTTAGAGCTAGTGGAGCCAGAGATAGGAAAGTCCCCAAAACTGGGAAGACCCATGAATAGGGTTGCCAGATACTTTCATGCAAAAGAAAAAAAAAAAGGAGACCAAACTTGTTGAGAAAAAAAAAAGGAGTCGCTGCCAGAAGACGCAATTACTGGACTGTCTGGGTGAAAAACCGGACATCTGGCAACCCTACTCATGAAAAAGGAGGGCAGTGTCTTTTTTTTCTTTCCTGATCTACTATGTAGGTTTGTGGCTCCAAGGCTGTGTCTACACTGCACCCCTTTTCCAGAAAAGGGATGCCGATTAGACAAGTCGGAATTGCAAATGCCGCGGGGGATTTAAATATCCCCCGCGGCATTTGCATTTACATGGCTGCCGCTTTTTTTCCGGCTCGGGGTTTTGCCGGAGAAAAACTCCAGTCTAGACGCGATTTTCCGGAAAATAAACCCTTTTCCAGAAGATCCCTTATTCCTACTTGTCTAATCGGCATCCCTTTTCTGGAAAAGGGGTGCAGTGTAGACACAGCCCATGAGTTTAATCAAATAACAGATTAAAAGGCAGGCAGATGTCAATGAAACCAAGTGCTTTTTCCTCCTTTGTATAGCTGAGACATCATTGACAAGATGTTATCTCCTAGCAACTTTGCTATCTCTAAAATAGGCCCAGAATGGGATGCTGGATCAGTATATATGTCCCCCTCCCAGAATCTTGGGGTTGGGATCTGGATTTGCCTTCTTGATTGCTAGGGTAGCCAGGTGTCTGGTTTTCGCCCGGACTGTCCATTATTCGGGTCCCCTGTCTAGTAAAAAAAACCCAGAAAATACCAGACATGTGAAATGTCCAGTATTTCCTGTTTCCCTCGGATGGAAGCCCGGCGGGAACAATTTTCCTCTGCTGCGTCTGGCAGGAGAGGGGGAGCGAGGAGCATGGGGCCATTTAAAGGTGCAGTGCCCTTTTTTTGTTTGTTTGTTTTGCTTAACAACGTTGGTCTCCCCCTTTTTTTTCTCAACAGAATTTTTTCCCGGTGGTTTTTTTTTGGAGAGGGGGTCGGCATTTTTTGTTAAACCATCTGGCAACCCTGTTGATTGCAGGAGGAAGTGAATGAAAAACATCAACAAAACCCAGTAACACCCCTTGTCAATGTGTCATTCCCTGACCATTCTTGAGCAATCTGTAAAGCATGCGAGCAACATGCCCAGTGTCAAGAGCCAGTCGGGTTTCAGTGGATTTACACCAGAGCCCAATGTGGCCCATACATGAGTCTGTCATTTCTTCACCACGGTCACTGGTACAAACCCAGCCGCCCTTCAGCAGAGAGCATCAAGGCCAGAGTTGATGCTAGTGAAAAAACTTCTCCCCATCAGTGAGGGCTCAGAGAGCTACCCTACCTACTGTGATAGCCATCTCCTGCTCCCTCAAAAAACAGGGCCATGATTGCCTCTGCGTGGCTTTTTCATTAATGTATTGAATGTAGCGCCTGATTCTCCTCCCATGCTGAACGAAATCAGAAGTCTCTCCAAGAAACTCAGTTACCCAGCTGGGAAGTAGGTTTAAGTGAGATTAGAACCAGGACATTTATATTTAAAATCCTCATTTGAAATGCTGAGGCTCCAGTTTAAAGGTAGAAACATTTTGCCAAACTGCACATCTGCAAATATGCCCACAAAAATACACTGTGCATCCAATTTGCATGCAGAATTACTGTGACTGCTAAGGCCAGTGGGGCCATTTGACTTGCAAATGAGTGATCTGGCACTTCTTCATGCGCAGAGGAGCTCCATTTTCATGCAAAGGTGCAACAAACTGGCATGCCAATCAAATGCAAAAGTGCGTGTGTAACACACAACTTTTGGGTGTGGTGCACTGTCCCATCTAGTGGCACTGAGACTACTTATAGAGAGAAGAATGAGTCTGCTCTACAGCCTTAGCTGTAGCTCATGGCTTTTAGCTCATGCAGTAGAGTCTCATGCACTAAGCTCCAGAAGTCCCATGTTCAATTCCGCCTGCTGGCAGGGGCAGATGATGATTTTGCGGGGCCCAGGGTAGCACAATTTCGCGGGGGCCCCCCTTTGACACGGTGCATGTGCGGGGCTTCTTGAAGCACAGGGCCCGGGGCGGCTGCCCCGCTCGTCCTGCCCTATATCCGCCCCTGCCTGCTGGCGTTACACATGCACATGTTGCATGCATAGTTGCACACTCGGCTTGTTTCAAAATCTGGCTTTAATCACTAGTTTTTCCTCATGCCTTTGTGAGTGATTAACCAGACCCACCACTTTCTTCCTTCTGCCCTCTGGAATCCCGGACAGCATCAGCACTTCCTGTCCTGTCCGTCCCAGCACTTTCACAGACCTGGCTCCCTTTTTCACAGAGTGGCCTCATTAAGGAAATCTGGTTCGAAAGGCACCTGTATTTTTTTTTTCCCAGGGTGTATTTCTTGGAACCTCTCCAGCTCTGGAACTGTTATTGAATAAATAAGATTGTAAAAATCTCACCATGTATTACCCTAATCAGGGAGCGAGGAAGGCTTAACAAATAAACCCAGACCTCTGGGTGAGTGACCTGAGAGCCCAGAGGAAGCTGCTCCTCAGCAATATCTTGTTCTAATTAGCCAGGCATATAAAAATTACTGATTCGAGTACTAAGGTATTCAGTGTTTAACGATTTTGCAGGCACTCAGCCTGGGTGGGTTTCTTCATGCTTTATCGGCAGACCTGACTCAACAAGAGATCGTGCTGCTTCAGGACATCCAGCCTCACTGTAAAATGTTCCTCCTTTGCAACCCTTCATCTCACCTTGCAGCACAGAGCGCGATGCTATTTGTACAGGGCTCAAAAATGTGCTAGGAGCCTCGCAAAATAAAAAGGACGTGGTCCCAGATTTTCAGACACAATTCACAATTAGGGGTGCGTCGGACTAGTGCTGGGAAAATCAGTGGGGGCTCCTGAATCTGAAAACCAGCCATCTGCACCCGAGCACCCGGAGTCTGAGATGGAGACACCCCAAATCACTAGTGACTTTGGGAAACATTGGCCACATATTCTACACAGTACCCCACGGAGCGTACCGCTGGCTAGGTGGGGGAAGAGGAAAGGAATGAAAAAGAGGGCAATGATAAGATCACATGGTTACTCACTAGGGACTCAATCCTGTAGGCTGCTGAGCATTCCTTTGGGATCTCGAATGCCCTCAACTCCCTTTGAAGCCAGGATGCTCGGCAGTTCTCAGGATCAAGCTCTAGGGCAAGAGTGGGCAATAAGCGGCCCTGGTGGGCTGCTGGCATTTTATTTACCTGTGCATCTGCAGGTACAGATGCTTGCAGCTGCCATTGGTTGGAGTTCACAATTCCTGGCCAATGGAAGCTGCAGGAAGTGGTGTCCCGGTCTGCACTGCTTCCCACAGCTCCCATTGGCCAGGAACAGCGATCTGCTGTGAGCAGCTCTACCTGTAGATGCGCAGGTAAATAAAATTCCGGTGAAACCCTGGTGAAACATGCCCAGCCCACGTGGACTTGGAATTGTGTAAATAAGGCAATTTTCTGATCTACTGCCCATTCCAAAAAACAAAACACAACAATATACCTCTCTAGTCCAGCATACTGGGGATCCAACTGGTGCCAAACCAGAGAATTTGCCAAACCATGGGAGGTCAATATTGTCTAGCAGCAATTACCAAAACTTCCACTGCTTCTTGGGCTCTTAGAAGACATTTAGGGGTAAATTACAGCCACTGAGAAACCAGGACTGGTGGCTGTAAACAAATTTTATGGGACCGTGGAAAAACTGGCCACACCCATGATAAGTGGACATCCAGCTCACTAAAATCATGCTGGACCACGGATGTTGCCAGACAAAAAAGTGCCGACTAGAGAGGTTCAACCTGTATTGTTTCAAACTGACCTAAACTCAAACATTTTCAAAATTTCTGGTAAACAAAAAGGAAAAAATACTTCCAGATCAAATTAAACATTTTGTTCATTGTCAGGCTGTTACAAATTTGTTATATTTGTAAATGAAATTGAAATAAAATTCAGAACAAAAAGGCATTTCAAATACAAAATTGAAAATAAAACGCAATTTTTTCAGAATCTCTTGTTAGGTTGTTTTTTGTTTTGGTTTTTTTTGAAGGGACAAGTTTGTTTTTGTTTGTTTTACTGAAACCATTTGACACAAACATGTGAAATATTTCAGTCAACCCAAATCTATATTTATCAGTGAAAAAAGTTATGGACAAATATTGTCACCCTGTTGCGCTTGTACATGCTTTGATGCTTCTGTTAGTTTTCCCCTTTCCCCTTCTTTATTTATCCTCCCTCCATCCTTTCTTAGAAGAAATTTGAACGAAGTGAGGGGAGAGTTTGGCATGGAGATTTTGGAAGATCATTCCAAGTATGATCAGCAACATACTTGGTGATACCTATCAAAGCAGATAAAGACCTGTGTGGATTGAGACTGACAGTGTGGGCACAGCAAAGAGGGCAAGGAGCGTGCTTAAGGAGAACAGGTCTGAGATGGGCTGAGTCATGCATGGCCTTGCCAGATGACCTCCCTTGCATTGCAGTGGTAATGGTTTGAAATTGAATGACTTCCTTGTATTATGTCATTGGTGTTAAGGCTTGATGTTGCCAGTGCTTTAGATTCAGGTTGTCTCCATTGGTGAGGAGACTGTGCGAAATGCTTTCTGAGCTGGCAGCCAAAATGGAACATCCTTAGTGTTTGCCTTTCCTGGAATTCTGGGGCTTGGTTCTTCCCAGACAAAGTCAAGCCGTTTATTTATTTATTCATATTCTTAAACAAATTTGCTTCTTCCCAAGCCCTTTTCTGTGAATGTTCTAGCAAACGAGTGAGTGTGCTGGCAGGACTATTTACAGAAACAGAATTTTAAGCATCCCTTGAATTCATAGTCACAAGTATTTGCACCGGAAGCCTGATTCCAAGAGTTATTCAGGGAGTAGAAATAATACCATACAACCTATGGGCCAAATGGTGTAAGAGCATAAGGATGGCCAGGCTGGGTCAGACTCTCTAACCCAATATCCTTTGTCTGTCAGGGTACATCTAAACTACATGGCTCCGTCGATGGAGCCATGTAGATTTGTTTTTTTTGGCAAAGGCAAATGAAGCCGCGATTTAAATGATCGCGGCTTCATTTAAATTTACACGGCTGCCGCGCTGAGCCGACAAACAGCTGATCAGCTGTTTGTCCGCTCAGCATGCTAGTCTGGACGCTCCCCTGCCGACATCAAAGCCCTTTGTCGGCAGCCCCGGTAAACCTCATCCCACGAGGAATAACGGAGCTGCCGACAAAGGGCTTTGATGTCGGCAGGGGAGCGTCCAGACTTGCATGCTGAGCGGACAAACAGCTGATCAGCTGTTTGTCGGCTCAGCGCGGCAGCCATGTCAATTTAAATGAAGCCGCGATCATATAAATGGCAGCTTCATTTGCCTTTGCCTATGTGTCTTATCTACATGGCTCCATCAATGGAGCCATGTAGTCTAGACACAGCCTCAGTGACCAATGCCAAATACTCTGGAGAGAATGGTCTCAGTGATTCTTCTCCTTTTGTCCAGGGCCAGTTTCTGGCAGTTGGAGGTTTATGGACACTTGGACCATGGGGTTGTCTCCCTGATAATCTTGACTAAAAGCCACTGATGGACCCATCCATCATGAACATTTCTAGTTCTTTTTTTTTCTAGTTCTTCTTTGGTTTTTCCCGTAACATAAGAACTAGGGGTCTCCAAATGGAATTAATAGGTAGCAGGTTTAAAACAAACAAAAGGAAGTTTTTCTTCACGCAGCACACAGTCAATCTGTGGAACTCCTTGCCAGAGGATGTTGTGAAGACCAGGACTTTAACAGGGTTCAGAAAAAAGCTAAATACATTCATGGAGGATAGGTCCATCAATACTTATTGGCCAGGATGGGGAGGAATGGGGTCTCTAGCCTTTGTTTATCAGAGGCTGGAAATGGGTGACAGGTGAAGGATCACTTGATGATACCCTGGTTCTGTTCACTCCCTCTGGGGCATCTGGCATTGGTCACTGTTGGAAGACAGGATGCTAGGTTAAATGGACCTTTGGTCTGACCCAGTATGGCCGTTCTTACGTTCTTATGAACCCAGTTATACTTTTGGCCTTCACAACATCCTCTGGGAATGAGTGGTGCATTGTGTGAAGTGCTTCTTTTTATTTTGTTTTAAATCTGCGGCCAATAATTTTATTGGGTGTCAGCCAGGATGGCTCCACTGATTTCAGTGAAGATACACCACCTTATATCAGGCTGAGGATGTGGCACTTTGTGTCCTGTCAGTACAGCTGAAAAGTGAAGCACTTGCAGCAACCTGTTCATCAGTCATCTTCAGACCAACAGTTATACAAGGGTTGGTTTCAATAACAACCATGCTTGAGAAAAATGGAGTTGAGTTTGCACAGATAAGTAACAAAAATAACCTCAAGGTGGAAACCCTTGAATCAGTGAAGACTTATTCACCTGGCTCTGCTGAACACTTTGTACCTCGTGCTTTAGCACTAGGCTAAGAGGAAAGAAGAGGTACCTGTTGTGCAAGGACTTCTGCTTGCAGTAAGACATTGATGGAAGGCAAACTGCTGTCTTCATAACTGGAGCGCCGGGTGCTGATTCGATCACGTTCATTTTGTACAGCTGCAAGATAGTACATTGGCTCAGCTGGACCTCAATCATGAGTGGGTGTATCAAACACCACCACACTCTGTTGGTGCTACCGCTACACACGACATCCTCAGCTTTCTTTAGCCAAGGCTTTGCAAATATAGCGTGGGAGAAAGGAGAGGAAGCGGCTGAATCATGTTTTACACACAGAGAGCCTGATTTTCAAACATTGGTGACTGACATTTGGTGCCTAATTCAACATTGGAACTCTCCTGGGGGCCTAAAATGGATGTTTGGACCTCTTGGTACTGAGCTGTTTCAGAAGATAAGGGCCTGACTCAGCTCTCACTGGGTGATAATCTGCTTCCCAGGGCAGAAACGGGTGTCCTCCCTTGGCCCCATGCCACTGTGCCAGTTTTTTAAAGGAACTTCTTAAGCCATACATGAAAAATGCCCATATGCCCTTGTTCGCACTCAGAAACCCCCACCGTGACTTGTGACAACAGGCTCTCATACAAACTCTCCCCCCAACCAAAGCTGGGAGCAAGTAGATTTGCTGGCCATAATCTCAGAAGCCTTTGAAAATGTGGCCAATACAGCTTGGCCTTCATGCAGCACAACAACGTACAACGGTGCTTTGAGGAAGCCCCTGTATGCTAGAATGACAGAGGAAATGAAGGTGGTGTTACTGCCAATCGTTACTGTGTGTGCATCTGCAGCAGCTATTGACAGAGCCTCTAAACTCAGTTAGGTCTGAGACTGAAGAGTGTCGTAATGACAGGGATGTTTCTTTCTCATGTATCCCCCTGCTTGGTTTGTTCTATAAAGGACTTACACTGTACGTCTAAGGGGTGTCAGCAGGCTGCTCTTGGAGCAAAAATGCTGAAGTGGTGAATTCCAGTATCTGGTTACGATTGTAACCCTGGGTAGGCAAACCATGTTGGAAAAGATACAGTCATGCAAGCAATCGGCTAGAAGAGGCTATTGATCCACCGTATCACAGTAATCTCTGCATGACACTCATGGCTCCCTGGATTTATATTTTCTGAATGTATAATTCAGCCTGATAAAAAGCAATAACTGAAATGAAAGCCCTGCAGTCAGCAGCTGTAAATAGGTGCGCTCAAGGTTACGCTGTTTGTTATCAGTGACTGGAGCCTCAGGTTCAGTCACACCACAATGTTTTCTAAATGTTTGCTCAGTATTAGCTGGTCATGGACTTAATGTAACTTCTATTGAATATTAACAAGCACAAGCAGAGCTTGAGCACAAGATGAGTGAGCTCTAAAGAGAGAGGATTCCTCTGTCTTGCAGGCAAAATTAAGGCAAGTTCTTAGCAATGCCCAGTCCCTACTAGTATGAGGAGAAATGTCAGCGTTAGGATGTTCTCCAAGGGCCTGTGTTTCAGGGGGGCAGCGACTTGAGGTGTCTATTATTAAGGGAGGTCACTTTATCCTACAGGCTGAGGGTGGAGAGCACATAAGCTGGAATCAGGAGAAGTTTGGGTTTTAAGTTGTGTATTTGTAAAGCCACCGACTGGTTCGTCATGTCGGCGTTGCAGGAAACCCTGCAGAGGCTTTCAAGGTAGAACTGCGGGGAGCATGTGGCCACACTTGACGGTGGATAGTTTGATGACCAAGCACACATTTTACGTGTGTGTGTGTGTGGGTATGAGTGAGAGAGAAATATCATCACTTTCCATCAGGGACTTTCTTACAGATGAAATGCACCATTTTGGAGTGGAGGCATTTTGCCATTGCCTGTGTATAGGGAGACATTGATCTCAGTGCAAAAGGCCAGCATGGAGTCTAGGCACCACTTGGGATTAAGTGGGAATTAAATGGCACATGGGTCTTTTACTGGCTCCAGCAGTATTGGGGAGAATTACACCCCCACACTCTGGACAATTATCTGGGGACTAGTGTAACTTTTGAGCAAAAATGAATAGTTTTGCTTTTAGTAAACTTGTGAAAAGGCAATTCTCTCTGTGTGTGCAAAATGCCTGGTTATTTGTTCCTTATGAAAAAGCCACAGGCACTTCCCAGGGATAAAAAATATAGCGGCAATTCACTGAAAAATCCTCTTTATTGAAAATAGCTCTTTGCACCAATTCCTCTTTATGGCTAGGAATTCTCTAACTTTGCCTTGGCAGAAAAAATTATTGGCTAGTGTTTAGAAAAATAAAAATGTCTGTCTCCTACAAAAGGAGACCCTCACATTCCCTCATTGGGGTGTGTCTACACAGCAGCATTATTCCGGAATAACAGCCGTTATTCCAAAATAACCATGCGAGCGTCAACACAGCAATTCTGTTATTCTGAAATAAATTCAAAATACCAGTAGGCTTATTCCGACTTCTGTAAACCTCATTCCACAAGAAATAATGCCTATTCCGAAATAGCTATTTCAGAATAGCAGTAGTATGGACGCTCCACTGCTGCTATTTCAGAATAGCTCCTCCCGAGGACTATTCAAAGTAATTTCTACCCAGTGCCTCCTGGGGCTCTAAATGGAGGTAGCACGTCCACATGAGGGAAGTCTGCCTCGGACTAATTTTGAGGCTTCTCTGTAGTGTAGATGTGCTATTTCGAAATAAGCTATTTCGGAGTATTTCTTCCAGAATAGCTTATTCTGAAATAAGTGTGCAATGTAGACGTACCCTAGCAGAATAAGTGTGATGCCAAAGCACAAGGCCTAGTCACTCATCCTAGAAAGAAGTTCAGCTGGTCCCCGAGTTGCGAACGGTCGAGTTACAACTGTTCACATTTACGACCACTTCGGTCGTAAATGCGGTCCTCGAGTTACAAACGCGATCTGTGCTTGCGAACAGCACAGTTGCCATGTAACTCAATGGGGTCCGAGTTACGAACACTTCGAGTTACGGCCAAGTGTTTGGTCCATAACTCGTTCGTAACTCGGGGAGAGGCTGTAGATACAAAACACTATTGAGGTTTGTCTGCATGGGAAAGTTTTGCTGGTTACACAACACTACAAGTAAAATCACCTTTGTGGATACTTTATTCCACTACAGCAGTATCCTTTGTTGGTTTAGCTTTCCAGGTGACACAAGTCAAGTTAAAGATGTTATACTGTGTGCAGGGGAGTTGACAGGATTGCTGGGCCCGTTGGTAATGTGTGTGGTGGGGTGGGGGGAGAGAAGGGAGTGGCTTTATGCTCTCCGAAGGAGTGGGGTCTGGCACAGAACTGGGGCAGGCAGCCCCCAGTGCTCCCCAGTTGGTGCAGTGCCTCCCCCTCCCTGCCAGCCCTCAGTGCTGTCCAGAGTGCCTGCCCCGGGGCTCTGTGGCACACCATGTGGCACTCCTGTAGTGACTCTAAAGGGCCCAGAGCCCTTCCATTGTCCCGCTCTGCCCCTCCCCCTCATCGGCAGGCCTGGGAGTGCACCAGGTTGTGTATTGGTATGGGTCCTGGTGCTGGGTGTGGGGTTCAGTCGAGTAGGTGTGGAGCGGTGTGTGGGTGTGTATGGGTAGCAAGGAAAAGGCAGCCAAATTAGCTGTGTAATTGCCATCACACCCACCCAGTGGCTGGCATTACAATGAAGGCCTGACCAGGCAGGCGGTGACCCACCTTCTTTCTTCATCCCTGCTCGGAAGCACTTCTTTAGCCTGCAGTATCGACACTGGTTTCTTTTGTCCTTATCTACGACACACTGCCTGTTAAACCTGGGGAGGAGACAGCAGGGTGAGCAGCAGCAACAACCTAGAGCCTAAGGAGAAAGCAACCCACAGGGGCCCTGTGCTCTGAGACACAAAACCAAAGCAGAGCTCCCTGCCCTGAGAAGAGACCACTGACAACTGGCCATAAGAACAGAAGAACGACCATACAGGGTCAGACCAAAGGTCCATCTAGCCCAATATCCTGTCTTCTAACAGTGGCCAATATCAGATGTGTCAGAGGGAGGGAACAACAGGTAATCCTCATGTGATCCCTCTCCTGTTGCCCATTTCCAGACAAACAGAGGCTAGGGACACCATTCCTACCCATTCTGGCTAATAGTCATTGATGGACCTAACCTCCATGAATCTATCTAGCTCTTTTTTGAATCCTGTTAAAGTCCTAGTCTTCACCATATCCTCTGGCAAGGAGTTCCACAGGTTGACTGTGTGCTGCATGAAGAAAAACTTCCTTTTGTTTGTTTTAAACCTGCTAACTATTTATTTCATTTGGTGACCCCTACCTCTTATATTATGGGAATAAGCAAATAACTTTTCGTTATTCACTTTTTCCACACTAGTCATGATTTTATAGACCTCTGTCATATCCCCCTTTAGTCTCCTCTTTTCTAAGATGAAAAGTCCAAGTCTTTTGAATCTCTTTTCATATGGGATCCGTTCTAAACCCCTAATCATTTTTGTTGCCCTTTTCTGAACCTTTTCCAATGCCAATCTATCTTTTTTGAGGCAACCACGTCTGCATGCAGTATTCAAGATGTGGGCATTCCATGGTTTTATAGAGAGGCATTAAGATATTCAGCAGCATGTTGTATGGATATGAGACATGGGTGATAATGAAAGATTCGAAGAGAAGGATATTGGCATTTGAGAGGAGTTATTATAGAAAGATCCTGAGAATAGGATGGATGCAGAAGGTCACCAATGAGGAATTATATAGGAAGATACAGCCGAAAGAGAACCTAATGCAGAAGGTTATACAGTGAAAGCTACAGCTATTCGGGCATATCTGCAGAATGAACAACAAGCGAAAAGTCAAGACCTTGGTATTCAGCATAATGGATGGGTTGAATAGGAGAGGCAGAACCTCACAGAGAATGGGGAGATGATATAGTAGATTGGTGCGGAGCTAGTCTACAGAAACTAAGCCACTCCACACTGGACAGGGAAAGATGGAAGGAAATAGTGAGGGAGGCATCAGACACCAACGGGTGTTGAGCCCATGGTTGTTGATGATGATGACGATGAAGATATTCTATATCATATTCTCTATCCCTTTTTTAATGACTCCTAACATTCTATTTGCTGTTTCGACTGCTGCCGCACACTGAGTGGATATTTTCAGAGAACTATCCAGAGTGACTCCAAGATCTCTCTTGTGAGTAGGTGTAGCTAAATTACTCCCCTTCCAGGGCTGCTTTCGTAGGGGGCTGTCAATCGACCTACCATTCCCCCAGGAACCAAGGAAGGATTATTGCACGCGAGGGAGTGCAGGGAGAGTCAAGGATTTGGACACATCACTCCCATTCATTCTGTGGGAGCCAAGAGATTTGCCTAAGGTTGCAGAGCAAAGTAATAGCAGAGTTGGGAATAGAGCCAGGAGCCCTGACTGCATGCACTTTGCTATAACCACTAGATAAGGGTTGTTCAAGATGTGGGTCACAATGCCTAGCAGGGTCACACACAGCTATCATGACCAACCTGCCCCTATACTGCTAAATGAATGGGCAGGGGGAGGGGGGCAGCCATCCAGGAAAGATGGAAAAAGTTCAGAAAAGGGCAACAAAAATGATGGGGGGTATGGAACGGCTGCTATATGAGGAGAGATTAATAAAACTGTCATTTTTCATCTTGGAAAAGAGACAACTAAAGGGATATGACAGAGGTCTATAAAATGACCAGTGTGGGAAAAGTGAATAAAGAAGAGTTATTTACTCCTTGCCACATTATAAGAACTAGGGGTCACCAAAAAAATGAATAGGTAGCAGGTTTAAAACAAACAAAAGGAAATATTTCTTCACTCACACAGTTAGCCTGTGGAACTTCTCGCTAGAGGATGTTGTGAAGTACAAGACTATAACTGGGTTCAAAAAAGATCTAGATATATTCACGGAGGTTAGGTCCATCAATGGCTATTAGCCAGAATGGGTAGCGATGGTGTCCCTAGACCAAGGGTGGGCAAAAGCCTCTCGGGGGGCTGGATCCGGCTTGTGAGGCAGTTTCAGGCCCCGCCCCCTAGCTCGTTGCCTTGGAGAGCGAAAGGAGCAATAGCCCTTCTAACTGCTTCTATTTAAAGGGCTCACATCTTCCCCAGCTTTGGGTAGCAGGGCAGGGGAAGGCGCAAGCCCTTTAAATAGAAACAGTTGAAAGGGCTGGCATCTCTGGCTCCCTAGTAACGCGCTAGAGGCATGGAGAGCTGCGAGCCCACTCAGCTGTTTCTGTTTAAAGGGCTCTCCTGTTCCCTGCAGCTTCCAGGCAACGTGATGCCTAGCAGTGGCGGGGAAGGCTCAAGTCCTTTCAATGGAAACAGGGGAAAGGGCTGGCAGAGGCTGGGGGCAAGCAATCGGCTAGAAGAGGCTATTGATCCACCGTATCACAGTAATCTCTGCATGACACTCATGGCTCCCTGGATTTATATTTTCTGAATGTATAATTCAGCCTGATAAAAAGCAATAACTGAAATGAAAGCCCTGCAGTCAGCAGCTGTAAATAGGTGCGCTCAAGGTTACGCTGTTTGTTATCAGTGACTGGAGCCTCAGGTTCAGTCACACCACAATGTTTTCTAAATGTTTGCTCAGTATTAGCTGGTCATGGACTTAATGTAACTTCTATTGAATATTAACAAGCACAAGCAGAGCTTGAGCACAAGATGAGTGAGCTCTAAAGAGAGAGGATTCCTCTGTCTTGCAGGCAAAATTAAGGCAAGTTCTTAGCAATGCCCAGTCCCTACTAGTATGAGGAGAAATGTCAGCGTTAGGATGTTCTCCAAGGGCCTGTGTTTCAGGGGGGCAGCGACTTGAGGTGTCTATTATTAAGGGAGGTCACTTTATCCTACAGGCTGAGGGTGGAGAGCACATAAGCTGGAATCAGGAGAAGTTTGGGTTTTAAGTTGTGTATTTGTAAAGCCACCGACTGGTTCGTCATGTCGGCGTTGCAGGAAACCCTGCAGAGGCTTTCAAGGTAGAACTGCGGGGAGCATGTGGCCACACTTGACGGTGGATAGTTTGATGACCAAGCACACATTTTACGTGTGTGTGTGTGTGGGTATGAGTGAGAGAGAAATATCATCACTTTCCATCAGGGACTTTCTTACAGATGAAATGCACCATTTTGGAGTGGAGGCATTTTGCCATTGCCTGTGTATAGGGAGACATTGATCTCAGTGCAAAAGGCCAGCATGGAGTCTAGGCACCACTTGGGATTAAGTGGGAATTAAATGGCACATGGGTCTTTTACTGGCTCCAGCAGTATTGGGGAGAATTACACCCCCACACTCTGGACAATTATCTGGGGACTAGTGTAACTTTTGAGCAAAAATGAATAGTTTTGCTTTTAGTAAACTTGTGAAAAGGCAATTCTCTCTGTGTGTGCAAAATGCCTGGTTATTTGTTCCTTATGAAAAAGCCACAGGCACTTCCCAGGGATAAAAAATATAGCGGCAATTCACTGAAAAATCCTCTTTATTGAAAATAGCTCTTTGCACCAATTCCTCTTTATGGCTAGGAATTCTCTAACTTTGCCTTGGCAGAAAAAATTATTGGCTAGTGTTTAGAAAAATAAAAATGTCTGTCTCCTACAAAAGGAGACCCTCACATTCCCTCATTGGGGTGTGTCTACACAGCAGCATTATTCCGGAATAACAGCCGTTATTCCAAAATAACCATGCGAGCGTCAACACAGCAATTCTGTTATTCTGAAATAAATTCAAAATACCAGTAGGCTTATTCCGACTTCTGTAAACCTCATTCCACAAGAAATAATGCCTATTCCGAAATAGCTATTTCAGAATAGCAGTAGTATGGACGCTCCACTGCTGCTATTTCAGAATAGCTCCTCCCGAGGACTATTCAAAGTAATTTCTACCCAGTGCCTCCTGGGGCTCTAAATGGAGGTAGCACGTCCACATGAGGGAAGTCTGCCTCGGACTAATTTTGAGGCTTCTCTGTAGTGTAGATGTGCTATTTCGAAATAAGCTATTTCGGAGTATTTCTTCCAGAATAGCTTATTCTGAAATAAGTGTGCAATGTAGACGTACCCTAGCAGAATAAGTGTGATGCCAAAGCACAAGGCCTAGTCACTCATCCTAGAAAGAAGTTCAGCTGGTCCCCGAGTTGCGAACGGTCGAGTTACAACTGTTCACATTTACGACCACTTCGGTCGTAAATGCGGTCCTCGAGTTACAAACGCGATCTGTGCTTGCGAACAGCACAGTTGCCATGTAACTCAATGGGGTCCGAGTTACGAACACTTCGAGTTACGGCCAAGTGTTTGGTCCATAACTCGTTCGTAACTCGGGGAGAGGCTGTAGATACAAAACACTATTGAGGTTTGTCTGCATGGGAAAGTTTTGCTGGTTACACAACACTACAAGTAAAATCACCTTTGTGGATACTTTATTCCACTACAGCAGTATCCTTTGTTGGTTTAGCTTTCCAGGTGACACAAGTCAAGTTAAAGATGTTATACTGTGTGCAGGGGAGTTGACAGGATTGCTGGGCCCGTTGGTAATGTGTGTGGTGGGGTGGGGGGAGAGAAGGGAGTGGCTTTATGCTCTCCGAAGGAGTGGGGTCTGGCACAGAACTGGGGCAGGCAGCCCCCAGTGCTCCCCAGTTGGTGCAGTGCCTCCCCCTCCCTGCCAGCCCTCAGTGCTGTCCAGAGTGCCTGCCCCGGGGCTCTGTGGCACACCATGTGGCACTCCTGTAGTGACTCTAAAGGGCCCAGAGCCCTTCCATTGTCCCGCTCTGCCCCTCCCCCTCATCGGCAGGCCTGGGAGTGCACCAGGTTGTGTATTGGTATGGGTCCTGGTGCTGGGTGTGGGGTTCAGTCGAGTAGGTGTGGAGCGGTGTGTGGGTGTGTATGGGTAGCAAGGAAAAGGCAGCCAAATTAGCTGTGTAATTGCCATCACACCCACCCAGTGGCTGGCATTACAATGAAGGCCTGACCAGGCAGGCGGTGACCCACCTTCTTTCTTCATCCCTGCTCGGAAGCACTTCTTTAGCCTGCAGTATCGACACTGGTTTCTTTTGTCCTTATCTACGACACACTGCCTGTTAAACCTGGGGAGGAGACAGCAGGGTGAGCAGCAGCAACAACCTAGAGCCTAAGGAGAAAGCAACCCACAGGGGCCCTGTGCTCTGAGACACAAAACCAAAGCAGAGCTCCCTGCCCTGAGAAGAGACCACTGACAACTGGCCATAAGAACAGAAGAACGACCATACAGGGTCAGACCAAAGGTCCATCTAGCCCAATATCCTGTCTTCTAACAGTGGCCAATATCAGATGTGTCAGAGGGAGGGAACAACAGGTAATCCTCATGTGATCCCTCTCCTGTTGCCCATTTCCAGACAAACAGAGGCTAGGGACACCATTCCTACCCATTCTGGCTAATAGTCATTGATGGACCTAACCTCCATGAATCTATCTAGCTCTTTTTTGAATCCTGTTAAAGTCCTAGTCTTCACCATATCCTCTGGCAAGGAGTTCCACAGGTTGACTGTGTGCTGCATGAAGAAAAACTTCCTTTTGTTTGTTTTAAACCTGCTAACTATTTATTTCATTTGGTGACCCCTACCTCTTATATTATGGGAATAAGCAAATAACTTTTCGTTATTCACTTTTTCCACACTAGTCATGATTTTATAGACCTCTGTCATATCCCCCTTTAGTCTCCTCTTTTCTAAGATGAAAAGTCCAAGTCTTTTGAATCTCTTTTCATATGGGATCCGTTCTAAACCCCTAATCATTTTTGTTGCCCTTTTCTGAACCTTTTCCAATGCCAATCTATCTTTTTTGAGGCAACCACGTCTGCATGCAGTATTCAAGATGTGGGCATTCCATGGTTTTATAGAGAGGCATTAAGATATTCAGCAGCATGTTGTATGGATATGAGACATGGGTGATAATGAAAGATTCGAAGAGAAGGATATTGGCATTTGAGAGGAGTTATTATAGAAAGATCCTGAGAATAGGATGGATGCAGAAGGTCACCAATGAGGAATTATATAGGAAGATACAGCCGAAAGAGAACCTAATGCAGAAGGTTATACAGTGAAAGCTACAGCTATTCGGGCATATCTGCAGAATGAACAACAAGCGAAAAGTCAAGACCTTGGTATTCAGCATAATGGATGGTTTGAATAGGAGAGGCAGACCCTCACAGAGAATGGGGAGATGATATAGTAGATTGGTGCGGAGCTAGTCTACAGAAACTAAGCCACTCCACACTGGACAGGGAAAGATGGAAGGAAATAGTGAGGGAGGCATCAGACACCAACGGGTGTTGAGCCCATGGTTGTTGATGATGATGACGATGAAGATATTCTATATCATATTCTCTATCCCTTTTTTAATGACTCCTAACATTCTATTTGCTGTTTCGACTGCTGCCGCACACTGAGTGGATATTTTCAGAGAACTATCCAGAGTGACTCCAAGATCTCTCTTGTGAGTAGGTGTAGCTAAATTACTCCCCTTCCAGGGCTGCTTTCGTAGGGGGCTGTCAATCGACCTACCATTCCCCCAGGAACCAAGGAAGGATTATTGCACGCGAGGGAGTGCAGGGAGAGTCAAGGATTTGGACACATCACTCCCATTCATTCTGTGGGAGCCAAGAGATTTGCCTAAGGTTGCAGAGCAAAGTAATAGCAGAGTTGGGAATAGAGCCAGGAGCCCTGACTGCATGCACTTTGCTATAACCACTAGATAAGGGTTGTTCAAGATGTGGGTCACAATGCCTAGCAGGGTCACACACAGCTATCATGACCAACCTGCCCCTATACTGCTAAATGAATGGGCAGGGGGAGGGGGGCAGCCATCCAGGAAAGATGGAAAAAGTTCAGAAAAGGGCAACAAAAATGATGGGGGGTATGGAACGGCTGCTATATGAGGAGAGATTAATAAAACTGTCATTTTTCATCTTGGAAAAGAGACAACTAAAGGGATATGACAGAGGTCTATAAAATGACCAGTGTGGGAAAAGTGAATAAAGAAGAGTTATTTACTCCTTGCCACATTATAAGAACTAGGGGTCACCAAAAAAATGAATAGGTAGCAGGTTTAAAACAAACAAAAGGAAATATTTCTTCACTCACACAGTTAGCCTGTGGAACTTCTCGCTAGAGGATGTTGTGAAGTACAAGACTATAACTGGGTTCAAAAAAGATCTAGATATATTCACGGAGGTTAGGTCCATCAATGGCTATTAGCCAGAATGGGTAGCGATGGTGTCCCTAGACCAAGGGTGGGCAAAAGCCTCTCGGGGGGCTGGATCCGGCTTGTGAGGCAGTTTCAGGCCCCGCCCCCTAGCTCGTTGCCTTGGAGAGCGAAAGGAGCAATAGCCCTTCTAACTGCTTCTATTTAAAGGGCTCACATCTTCCCCAGCTTTGGGTAGCAGGGCAGGGGAAGGCGCAAGCCCTTTAAATAGAAACAGTTGAAAGGGCTGGCATCTCTGGCTCCCTAGTAATGCGCTAGAGGCATGGAGAGCTGCGAGCCCACTCAGCTGTTTCTGTTTAAAGGGCTCTCCTGTTCCCTGCAGCTTCCAGGCAACGTGATGCCTAGCAGTGGCGGGGAAGGCTCAAGTCCTTTCAATGGAAACAGGGGAAAGGGCTGGCAGAGGCTGGGGGAGGTGCAAGCCCTTTCAGCTGTTTCTATTTAAAGGGCTGGCCCCTTCCCCACACCTGTCAGGCAACCTGTTGCCTAGCAGCTGTGGGGAACAGGCGAGCCCTTTAAATAGAAACAGCTGAGAGGGCTCTCAGTTCCTGTTGCTGGAGATGCAAGTTGTTTCTAATTAAAGGGCTCTCCGGTTCCCCAGGGGCTGCTAGGCAAGCATTGCCTGACAGGCTCAGGGAAGACAATGAGCCTTTTAAATCGAAGCACTTAAAGGGGCTTGTCTCTGACTCACTAGCAACTGCATTAGAGGCTGGGGGGTCTGCAGGCCCCATTTAAGTGTTTCTATTTAAAGGGCTGGTATCTTCCCAGCACCTGTCAGGCAATCCTAGCGGCTTGGGAAACACAAGAGCCCTTTAAATAAAAACAACTGAAAGGGCTCCTAGCTCCCCACGCCTATAGCCCATTGCCGGAGACACAGGATCCCTTTGAATACCCAGTAACCAACCTATTTCTTTATAACCGGTTTTGATAAAATAATCTGAATGCCATTTTCATAGTCCAGCAGGGGAATCTTTTGTAACTCATAAAACCTAACTGAATATACTTAGTGTGGGTGGGAGGAAAAACAAGGACTTCAATACTATTTCATGGAATCATAGGTCTGGAAGGGGCCTCAAGGTCGTTTAGTTTAGTCCCCTACATTCATGGCAGAACTGAGTATTAATTTTCAGTGCCCTATGTTTAGTGTTAGTGTTGTAGTTCTTACAAATGTTACAAGTGTTCTCAAAATGTTAGTGTTATTACACATTTTACAAGTGTTGCCTTCTATGATAATCTTGGGATACTGTTGGATGCAGTTAATTATTATTACAGTTGAATTACTTTGTCGTGGAAAAACATATTGGCATCTTTTCCAGCACATGGCTCCGCCCCTTCTACCTCAGGCCCCGCCCCTCCTGGGTCGGCCTGCGGATACTTCTGAACTTTGTGAAGTGGGCCCCCTTCAGAAATTATTGCCCACACTTGCCCTACTCTCAGTTTGTCAAAAGCTCAGGATGGTCGACAGGCGAGTGACCATTTGGTGATTCCCTGTTCTGTTCATTCTCTCTGGGGCATCTGGTATTGGCCACTGTTGGCAGACAGGATACTGGGCTAGATGGACCTTTGGTCTGCCCCAGTCTGGCCATTCTTATGTTTTTATGATTCAGGTGCTGCACAACTGATTAGGAGAGCACCCACAACTGCCCACATGCCTCAGGGCACATCACAAAACTTATCCTGCACATGGATGGAAAACATTAGCAGGAACATTGGTCCCCAGGAGAATACAGCTGGATAGGTGAGAGATCCCAGATGATGGGTGGTTCCTGGTTTGGAATATATTAAGAATCAGGGGAACCGACAGGGTGGGGCAGCTCCACACTCCCAGAAGGGGCAGGGCCTTGGGAGGAAGGAGTGGGGCTGGGGTATGCAGACCTCAGCGCTGCTCAGACATCCCAATGCCCCCCCAGCGGCATGGGGCTCTGGTGCATGCCATCAGGCACTGTGGCAGCAATTCCAAATCTGTGTCTAGACAACAAGCAGATTTTTCGAAAAAGTGAGCTGCTTTTTCGAAAGAGAGTCTAGAAGCTCTCTTTCAAAAAGCACAGTTTGCATTCAATAGCACCTTTTTTTGAAAGAGTACTTTAGAAAAAAGGCATTATTCCTCATAAAATGAGGTTTACTTTCAAAGGAACTGCAGCTGCAGTCTAGACCTAGGAGAAGTTTTTTCGAAAAAACCCTGTAGTCTAGACACACTCTAAAGGGTCTGGGACTCAGACCGCCGCTGCTGCGCCTGGAATCACTGCAATACACCACAGTCTCTCCCAGAGCTGGGCATAGAATCCAGGCCTCCTGGCCCCCAGGTTCCTGCTCACAACACTGCACCAAAACCCGAACGGATCCATCTCCCAGTATAACCCACAATCTCCACTGATCAGAGCCAAAGCAGCTTCTTCCTTCCCACTTGCTATGTCCAGATCCGTGGCACTCCCTTGTCAATCACTGCAATACACCACAGTCTCTCCCAGAGCTGGGCATAGAATCCAGGCCTCCTGGCCCCCAGGTTCCTGCTCACAACACTGCACCAAAACCCGAACGGATCCATCTCCCAGTATAACCCACAATCTCCACTGATCAGAGCCAAAGCAGCTTCTTCCTTCCCACTTGCTATGTCCAGATCCGTGGCACTCCCTTGTCTGCCCTGTTTATGGCTTTCATGTGTAACACAATGTCAATAGCAGTTTGCAGGACAGATTTTATTGGAACTTCTCATGCTCTCTCTCTAGTTTTCAGCTGGCTGATCACATCAGGTTACTCACCCTGTGAGTGCAGAGAGCAGGGTGGCCCAGGGGACAAAGCCCCCCCCCCCCCCCCCCTCCCTTTTTTGCTGTGCTCTATTGAAGCCCTATGTCAAAATTTTCCAGAATAGATGCCTAACCATAGCCTTCAAAGTCCATGTTTAGGCACCTCAGTAAGGGGCTTTAACGTGCTGAGTGCTGCATCAAGGCCACTGGAGTCAGTCACAATCAGCATGTTGGAAAATCAAGGTGCCTAAATATGGATGCAGGAGCCTAACGTTAGGCAGCCATTTTTTAAAAGCTTAACCCTAGACTCCAAGCTGGACTTCAGATTACCCCTCAGTCACACACAGGGCTGTCCTTAGGATTTATGGGGCCCTACTGTTAAACTGGCGCCCCTCTGCCCCAGGGCAGCCTGGGAGGAGAATGATGATTTTTTAGAGGTGTGATTTTACAGTCTTCAGCAACACACGAATCAAATACTTTTAAAGCAAATTTTAAATGTAGGTCCTGTCAACCTCTTAAACTAAGATCCTGTTTAGTAAATTCAGAAACGGACAATATATCCCTGGGGCTGACATATGCCTGTTAAATGGCTTCATTAGCACTTGAACTGCTCTTTCACAGGTTCAATGTTCTGCTAATAGCTCTGGCAGGCTTTGTCCCTCTGAAGTTAGCTAGATCCTCTCAGGAGGAAGCAGAGCCACAGACCACAGATATGAAGAGATGGGTGGGTTGACAGTAAGACCCAGTGATGCCCCAAATGTTTGAGTGCCCTATGGAGCTGCCTACTCTGCAAATGGGTAAGGATGGTCCTGGTCACACATCTGGGGCTCCTCTCTGCCCCTCAGTTGCCACATTGATGCTGCCATCCACATACCCCATGCAGCTATCACGGGATCTAGGAGACAACTTTCAAAACCACCAAATATGGGGCCTGAGTTCAAAAGAGATTTTGAGCCATAAGACCCACTGACCGTCAGTGAAACTTAGGCACCCAAAGGCCTGATTTATAAAGGGACTGACGTGCCTACGGTCACCATGGAGGCTCTACTGACATCATCAAAGCTGCAGTTCAGAGGCCACCTACTCCCCCATGGTGCCTACGTTTCTGCCTGTTGGCATTTTCAGAGCAGCCCAAGTGCCACCGCCACCCCACAACCAACAAGCTACAAGGAGCCCTAGCTCAGATCAATACCCAGATGCCCCAGCAGGCAGTGGGGCTGGCAGCCACTGTGGGCCCCGGAACAAGATATGTGGGCGGAAGGGGCAGGGCTGATGGCAGTCAGCCCTTAGCATCACCCAGACCATGGCTCTGTAGGGTTGCCAGATGGTTTCACAAAAAATACCGACCCCCCCCTCAAATGCAGGGAAAAAATTCCCTTGAGAAAAACACCCCCAAAGTTTCTTTAATACGCAGCTGCTCCCCCCTCCCTCCCCTGCCCCAGCCAGCGTGAGCTGCGCCGCATGTTCCAAGCGGCCATCTGCTTTCCACTTGGAAGAGGGCTGCCAAGAGCCAACGCTGACATCTCTCTAAAACTCTGGGGCTGCGTCTAGACTGGTAAGTTTTTCCGCAAAAGCGGCCACTTTTGCGGAAAAACTTGCCAGCTGTCTACACTGGCCGCTTGAATTTCCACAAGAACACTGACGATCTCATGTAAGATTGTCAGTGTTCTTGTGCAAATACTATGCTGCTCCTGCTCAGGAAAAAGCCCTCTTGCGCAAATGCTTTTGCGCAAGAGGGCCAGTGTAGGATGGGGAAAATGGCGATCGGGGCTTTCTTGCGCAAAACTGCATCTAGATTGGCACGGACGCTTTTCCGCAAAAAGAGCTTTTGCGCAAAAGCATCCGTGCCAATCTAGACGCTCTTTTCCGCAAATGCTTTTAACGGAAAAACTTTTTCATTAAAAGCATTTGCGGAAAATCATGCCAGTCTAGACGTAGCCTGGGTCCTTGAGTGCCTAGGTCACTTTAAGAATGGGCCTCAGGCTTCTCAAACGATTTCCGTGCTTTTTAAAATTACCCCAGACCAGACTCTGCTGGGATCAGTGCAGGAGTAACACCACAGACTTAGGGTTGCCAGATACTTTCACAAAAACTACTGAACGTGGCAGGGGGAAAAAAAGGACCAAAGTTGTTGAGGAAAAAAAAAAAGAGGCAAGGTTGTTTAAATCCCGACACTCCCTGCTCCATTTCCCCCGCAGCAGGGGAGGAATGTTCCACACAGCCCACCGAACTGTCCAGGTCGATACCGGACACCTGGTAACCCTAACAACAGTGGCCTGTTGCACTGCCCTGAATGGGAGTTCAGCACCACGCCTGGAGGCAAGGTGCTGACCCTGGCAGTAGGAAACACCTTCCCTTTGCTTTGCAGCAACCTCTCCTCTCAGCCTCTCTCCCCAGCCCAACAGGGGGTAGGGTGTTGCAGAGAATGTATGCTTAGCTCCATAGCATGGGTCCCTCACTCCCTGCCACTCTCAAGTGGCCCCTTGAGGCCAGTGAGGAGCTTAGCAGGGAGCAGTGTCCAGCCGAGGGACTGGGCTCCCTGGGTAAAGGGAGGAGACAGGTAAAAGTGAGGCCAAGTTCTGGGGGATTCTCAATGCAGTTCCTGGTGGATTTGTTCTCCCTTTTGTCTATGGCACATGCCTGGCTGCAGCTGGAGCCTCGCCCAGCACAATGCCCCGGTGCCCTCAGTCCATACCTGCAGGAGTACATGTGGTTCTTCCTGACGCTCCTCCTGAAGAAGCCTTTGCAGCCGTCACAGCTTGAGGCGCCATAGTGCTTCCCCGTGGCACGGTCCCCGCAGATGGCGCACAACGCGCTCATCCCGATGCTGTTGGTGGCACTGAGGTTTGTCGTGTCTGATGGAGGCGTGTCTACATTGGGAAGGACCAAGAGAGGGAGTCAGCGAAGAGTCAGAGAAGCTGCTCTTTACCCAAGGAGGCAGGAGGAAACTAGGCAGGCCTGTGGCATGCGCAAACACACATGCATGTGCACACCCACACACAAACACGCATGCACAAACACTAAGCTCAATGCATAAGGGGGTGCTTGACTCCTTGGAAAACCTGGCCCTAGGATCAAAAAGTTCCAACTTGGATTTCTGAAGTTAGGCATCCAAACAGAGGCTTGAGTTTTTGAGGAGCTGGACACTTATAGCTCCCATAGACTTCAGTTAGGCGTTGTGGGTGTTCAGTCCTTAACATCAGGCCATCTCGTGTCCGAGTTTAATGGGGACAGTAAATACTTCATGTTTGCAAAGTACATTGAGACCCTCTGGTGAAAGTCCCTGTACACACACAGACTGATTAGCATTCAAACAGTCTGGAATCCAGACACAGCCTCAGATTTCGTGGCAACCCAGCTCAGAGCTAGCACTGTACAGAGCCAATATTCACTGGGTATTTTCAGTGTGTATTTTGCTGTGCTGCCCAAGGCCTTGAATCGCCTCTGGAAACAGCCAGCAAGCCAGAGCACTTTCAGCACTGTTGTCATGTGCTCAGCTTATGCTACCCAATTTAAAAGGGAGACAGCTCCCATCTGCCCTAGCTGTAGCCTTCAAAGTGCCCAGATTAGTACTCAATAGAATGTATTAGACGAGTCGGGTGACAAATGCAGGGATAGTTATTGTGAGGTTTGCATCAGAGCCTCTTGGCCAGTGGCTGATGGAAAACTACCTCATGGGCCACTATTTCTACTAGGCAGTCGAGAAGTAGCAATTTATCCAATAGGTCTCTGGAGGTATCCACACCATTTTGGTGAAAAGTGTGGACAAACTCCCTCAAAAGCAGTCTCAGCCAATTGCTGGAAGCCCTTCTTCCTCACAACAGGCACCACACCTGGGTGGTCAGGGTAGGCTGGAGTCAGTTCACGTCCATGATGCTGTGCAGTCAGATAAAGAAATCTTGATGGGGGTATCCTTACTGAGTTGAGGGAGCCCTTAAAGCACCCCCCTGACTTGTGTTAGTCATTGCCCCCACTTCCTCATCTGAACTAAGACCATGCAATCCATCCCAAAAAAAGAAGGATGGGATTGCAGACCTTGGGAGACTTCAAGCTGGGCATTCTCAGCTGGGCTGAGAACTTTACACCCCAAGCCGTTGTCTGAGAATAAGGACAACCCAGCGAATTACAAAACAGTCTCCTTAATTTTGGTACCATGAAAAAAATGGAGCAAATAAAATCCCCCATAGCATTTGCATGAACATGGCTGCCGCTTTTTTCCGGCTCGGGGTTTTGCTGGAGAAAAGCGCCAGTCTAGACGGGATCTTGCAGAAAATAAGCCCCTTTCCGGAAGATCCCTTATTCCTACTTTCAAGCGTGTAGCCGCGGGCAGTCAGTTCGAACTAAGGGGATTTAAAAATGGCGCCCTCCCTGGAACATGCAAATGAAGCCCGGGATATTTAAATCCCGGGCTTCATTTGCAAGTTCAAATGCCTACATTAGCCACCCTAGTTCGAACTAGGGGGCTAGTGTAGACATACCCTTGGAGAACAGGATTAGAATTCAAAATGATCTTGACAAATTTGAAAACGTGTCTGAAATAATCAAGATGAAATTCAGTAAGGACAAATGCAAAGTACTCCACAGAGGAAGAAACAAGCAATTGCACAAATACAAAATAGGAAAAGACTGCCTAGGAAAGAGTATTGAAGTAAAGGATCTGGGGGATTATAGAGCATCACAAACTAAATATGAGTTGACAATGTAATATTGCTGCAAAAAAAGCCAACTTCATTATGGGATGTATTAGCAGGAGTGTTGTAAGCAAGATATGAGAATTAATTTTCACTCTGTTCAGCACTGATAAGGCCTCAACTGCAGTACAGGTTGGACCTCTCTCATCCAGCACCCTTGGGACCTGACTGGTCCCAAACAAGGGAGATTTGCCGAACAAAGGGAGGCCCCTTGTGATATGGCTCATGCTGCCCCTGTCTAGGACTCCAGCCCAGCCCCACGGCTGCCTACCCGGCCAAGGCTTCCCAGGCTGGAGCTCTGTGGCTGCTGCCGCCAGGGCTGGAGGTTTGTGGCTGGGGCTGGAGTTCTGCTGGGGCCAGAGCTCCATGGCCAGGGCCAATGCTCCATAGCTGCTGTGGCTGACCCTCGAGCTCCATGGGTGGGGCTGGAGCTCTTTGGCCACTGCCAGCCCCCTGCTAACACCTGGCCACTGGGGCCAGAACTCCCTGCTCTGCTGCCTGACCCTCCCTCAACAAGGGGCTCCTGGCTGAGTCACTGCCCCTTCCCTCACACCACTCCTGCCCTGGTGCCCAACCTCCTTATTCCTCGGGCTCTGTGGTCCAGGAACATCCGTGGTCATGCCAGACCATGGATGTTGCCAGTCTAGAGAGTCCCTGTTAAGGGAGGTCTGACCTGTGAGGTATCTGGTTCTGGGCAACGCACTTTAGGAAAGATGTAGACAAATTGGAGAATGCCCAGAGAAGAGCAACAAAAATGATTAAAGGTCTAGAAAACATGATCTATGAGGAAAGATTGAAAAAAAAATGGGTTGTTTAGTAACAATCTTCAAGTACATAAAGTATAGTCATAAAGAGAAGGGTGATCAATTATTCTTTGTATTCATTGCTGCACAAGAAGTTATAGGCTTAAATTGTAGTGAGGGAGATTTAGGTTGGACAGTTGGAAAAACTTCCTAACTGTAAGGCTAGCTAAGCACTGGACCAAAGTACCTAGGCTGGTTGTGGAATCTCCTTCATTGGAAGTTTTTGTGAATAGGTTAGACCAGTACATAAGAACGGCCATACTGGGTCAGACCAAAGGTCCATCTAGCCCACTAACCTGTCTGCCAACAGTGGCCAGCACCAGGTGCCCCAGAGAGGGTGGACTGAAAACAATGATCAAGCGATTTGTCTCGTGCCATCCATCTCCAGCCTCTGACAAATAGAGGCCAGGGGCACCATTCCTACCCCCTGGCTAATAGCCTTTTATGGACCTAACCTCCATGAATTTATCTAGCTTCTCTTTAAACTCTGTTATAGTTGTAGCCTTCACAGCCTTCTCTGGCAAGGAGTTCCACAGATTGACTATGCGCTGTGTGAAGAAGAACTTCTGCTTATTAGTTTTAAACCTGCTACCCATTAATTTCATTTGGTGTTCTCTAGTCCTTATATTATGGGAACTAATGAATAACTTTTCTTTATTCACCCTCTCCACACCGCTCATGATTTTATATACCTCTATCATCCTCCCCCAACTTTTTCTCAATCTTTTTTTTAATAAAGTACCCCTTTAAAAAAAAAGTACCCCTAGTACTTACAGTTTTCAGACTCACACATTTTTTTCTACTATTGCAACACATTTGTTTAAACACCTTAATTGTAGCCAGGTGGGTGATGAAATTTTTGGGTGTAAAAAGTACAAAAATAATAAAGCGCTGTAAACCTTAAAACAAAAATTCAGTTTTCTCCAAATTTCAGTTGTGTTGGTGTACCCCCAGACTTCTCTCGAGAACCTCTAAGGGTACTCGTACCACTCGTTGAGAAACACTGGGTTAGACAAACATCTGTCAGAGCTGAGTCCTGCTTCGGTGCAGGGGACTGGGCTAGATAACCTGTCAAGGTCCCTCCCATTTTTAGGATCTCTTTGATATTATCTCTCCCTTGTGGCCTTTGCACAAACATTGACTGGGAAGGGTGGCAAGATGGAGCCCTGAAGAGGGGCACTCACCAGGCTCCTAGAGTAGAAGGAGCAATTCAACAGCACCAGGGAAAGGAAATGCTTCCCCCCACCAAGTCTGCTGAGGGAGCCAACCAAACCTCAAGGCTTATGGCAGCCCCATAGCTCTGACTGACAACTCTGCACAGACACCTCCACGGACCATGGATGGGCACAGACACCTTCCCCTTCCCCAAGGGAAATTCCAGATGAAAATTATTTACTGAATCCAGGTGGCCATAGAGACAGAGCAGTGATTTTGCTGGTCTTGTGATTTTCTACCGATCTCACCACTGTCCTGCAATGGACACTGATAGAGGCAAGAGACGAAGAGAGGTTACAAGAAAACTTAGAAAGCTATCTGAAGGATTCAGGGCATTTCTATCAGGGCAGTAGAAGGAGATCACCAGCCATCCAGGGTTATACAGATCTGAAACTCAAAGCAAAAACTCAGGAGGGCATGAACTAAAAATGAGCTGGAATCCCAAAAAAGGTTTGTCTGAACCTCCACCTTGCACACCACAGACACTGGACCTCATGGGGTCTGAGAGGCAACTCCATTGGCTTATACTGCATATGGCTCTCTGCCTCTAGCCCCCACAAAGAATCTATCTGGTCTGAGAGGAAGAACCCCCTTCTAACCACAATTTCCTTTCCTGTTGTGAAGGGATGTATAGATCCCACCCAGGCTCTGGCAGGGAGAGGGTTAACACTCTCTCACTATAGGTAGGCCACAGCTGCTGGTGCAGAAATTCAGGGGAAAGCCAGGCAGGGCACAGCTGTGGTGAATTAGGCCTTTCACCAGCATGTGATAAGAGGGCTGTGGATGGAGGGACTGGGGCTGGCAATAGGAGCCAGGCTCTTGGAGGTAGAGAGCAGGGTAGGGCAGGGCAAAGCGGTTAGTGCAGAGTTCATTTAGAGGCCAGGCCCAAGGAGCTTTGTGAGCCCTGGCTTTCGAGCCCTGCTGGTGGGAAGTTTCTTTTGTTTGCCTGTTTGTTTAACCAGGCTCCAGGGAGGCTAGAGAATGGGGCTTCTACAGCCTAGGAAATGGGTTTCCCTGGCCCCCTGCATAGAGCCAAAACACCCAGCAAAACAGCTCCTTGCTTACTGCTGTGTGGGGAAGTTTGACTGGTATTAGGTGGGGTATGGATTTAAAGCACCTGAGTTTGACTAAAACACTTCCCAGATGGACACTTTCATTCTG